TTTGGAAAGAACATGCAGCACTACATCTGGTGTAGAAAGGCCACTGCATATCATCATAAAAACATCATCCCAACCGTTAAGTATGGTGGAGGAAACATCATGATTTGGGCCTGCTTTGCTGCATCAGGGCCTGGTTGGCTTGTAGTCATTGAGGGGAAGATGAATTCCCAAGTGTATCACAGATAATGTGAGAATGTCTGTACGTCAGCTGAAACTGGGTTGAAACCTTCAGGTACATTGTCCCAAGCATCATGAATAAATTTCCAGTTCTAATGCATTGTGTGCCTCTTGCTTGTAAAGTACTCTGAGAATAAACTTTTAAAAGTCTACACAACATCTGCTGAAACATCCCTGCAGACATTCATACAAACTGAAACTGATAATAAAGACCTTACTTTGCCAACTGTCCTGAGCTGAACTTTGTTGTGATTTGGTGCCATATTCTGGAGCAACAGAGAACTGCTGCTCCAGAATCTTTCCTTCTCTTCAAACCCTCACCCGACTTGTGGAGCATAACCACTGACTACATTCAACATTACCCCTTCAATTTCCAACTTCAAACTGATCACCCTGTCTGACACTCTTTTCACCTCTAAAACATTCCTCACCAGCTCCTCCTTCAGGATCACTCCTACCCCATTTCTCTTCCTGTCCACACCATAATAAAACAGTTTGTATCCCCCTCCAATGCTACATGCTTTGCTACCCTTCCACCTGGTCTCCTGCACACACAGTATATCTACCTTCCTTCTCTCCATCATGTCCGCCAGCTCTCTACCTTTCCCTGTCATTGTGCCAACGTTAAGAGTCCCTATTCTCAGCCCTATACTCCTGCCTCTCCTCTTTTTTCTGTCTACAAATCCTTCTACCTCCTCTCCTTCTTCGACCAACAGTAGTCCAATTTCCACCAGCACCCTGTAGGTCAACAGCACTGGTCGTGGTCGTTGTTAACCCGGGCCTCGACTGATCTGGTATGGAATTCACACCGATGATTCGCATGTTTAAATTTGGCATGTTTTTACGCCGGATGCCCTTCCTGACGCAGCCCTTTCTATTTATCCGGGCTTGGGACTGGCACAGAAGTCACTGGCTTGAACCCCTGTGGCTAGATTGGAGCATGGGCCTATGATGAGTTGCAAAAAGTTGATGAAATGTATTATTTTTTTAAATTAATGATGCTAGATTAACTTGTGAAAGTTTAAATTTGATAAATCAAACTGGGGCTGCTTGACAATCAGATTATACTACTGTGAAATGCAGAAGAATGCAAAGAAATGTGCAATACAGGGCCAGATTTTTATGCCATCAAAACATGTTGAGAATTTTCTTAATGTATGTTGAAATAAATATTTTTATGAAGATTAATATCTCTACATTTTTACCTTTACCAGTGGATGTTTCAGTAGCAGCAGTATAACAGTGGAATAGTGGGCTGAGCAAGGGAAGGTCATATAGCACATTTCATTTATGAAGCAGACATTCAAGAAACCAATAGTGAGATTTGATTAATGGGGGGCCTGTGCCCCATTAGAGCTTTATGTCTAGCAATGCCCCTGGAATATTCCAATTTTTTTTTAAATAGTTTTGAAAGCTAATTTTATATACATGGTGATCTTTTTAATCATTCAAATTTGTCTGGGTGGTTAAAAACACATCTTTCTGTGGTGTGACAAACTCAGAACACATTTACTTCTACTTTAGCCCAACTTTATTGTTAAAGTTAATTCAATTATACAGGAATGTAGGTAGGTCAAAGAGAGAGGAGGTTATCTTCAACAGAATGACATTATGACAGTCTACCATAAACAGTACACTTCAACCAACAGGCAAACACCCAACTGGATTATGTGAACACTGTTAGGCAGAGGAGACAGTAACACGTGTTATAATGGCGTATCAGCAATATGAACAGCAGTGGTCTGGCCAGATGTTTATTTCATTTAGGGCAGACAGGGCTAACGCTGATTCACACTCCGAAGCAGAAGACGTCGGTAATGATCCTACTACGCTGGTCGCCAACTGCTGTTAAAATCCAAGAAGAAGAAGAAGAAGACGAAGAAGAAGAAGAGGGAAAGGAAAAGGAAGAAGGCCAGCGTTTCCATAACAGACCCATGTTGTGTTCGTGGGCTTCGATATGGTCCTTCGCAGCATCAGGGTTGCTTTGCAGGAGTAGTCAACGCGTCCTCCAGCTCACCAAGACACGGGGTCATTCTGACAGCATTAGGCTTTTCCACAAAAACGCAGTGCTTCGTCGTGTTTTAAAGCCAGCCATCGCGCCGGGAGCACGTCCGGGCGTTACTTTCACGTTCGGTTCCGGCTTTGACGTTCAGGTCTCCAGAAAGATCAGCATGTCATCCAGCGCGATGTCCCAGAGGATGGTCTGGGTGGACCTGGAGGCAAGTGACGGCTGTAGCAGTGTCGTTAACACGTGTCTATGGAAGGAGAACGAACAGAATAGGGTAGAACAGAGCCGGGGAGCAGAAGGACAATATTAACCCAAATATCAGACAGAAAGGACAATAGGAAAGAAAAGGAGCATGATAAATAAATTAAAGGTCAACAGAGTAAACTTCAGTGTATTATTTTAACAGCTTTGGTATTTTTTGAGAGTTTAATACTTTCCAAATATCTTTTGCCACTTTCACAAACAGCCATTAGAGGTTTGTTGTTATCTTTACGTATGAATTTAATATTTAACAATTATAAGCATAAGGTTTATTATAAAACATCTGTCATTGTCCCAAAAAGAATGTCATTAAAGGAGAAACAGAACTCGCTGAGAGTTTTGCTTTGAATAAAAGCCAGAATGTGTGATCAAAGTATCTCAGTACAGTTACCAACATAAGTGCACAGAGTTCCAGAAGGAGCAGCTAGAATCGATGCCCTTTTTAAACCTTGAAGAAAGGAAAGACTTGACAGGTTTAATATAAATTGAAAATATTTGTATGTAAGGTAAGGTCCAAACTTTTTCCAAGGTATGTTTTTGATTTGATTTGATTTGATTTGATTTATTCTTTCAAGCATATAAAACAGTTGATATAACAACACACATTTTTACACATAATCCAATATCAATTTGCTTATACCTAGTACATGCTTGAATGGAGTAGGAAGAAGTCAGACTTATCCAGTCCTACCCCATGACATCATCTTACCATCATTGGTTTGCAAGCAATAAATGAATCACTTCTACACACACACATATTATACTAAAAAAAGAATATAACAGTGTTAACATTCTTACATCACACAAGTGATATACTAAAGAATGGTTACAAAATATACACCACACCCACAATAGTCCATGTAGTTAATCATTGAGCCTGTTCTTGCATATATCTTGATTGACACATACCTTTAT